AACGACAAATAGATAGGAAAGAAAAAGAAACCCCCCTCCAGGCTGTAACACTTACAGGCTAGCGGACTAAATGAATTAGGACAAATTTGAGAACTCCAGCGTCTTATTCCTCCTGCTCTTCTGATCAAGATTGCTGCCCAACCACCACTACCAGTCACAGTGGTATGGTACTTCAATAGTGTCCAGTCCATTTGTCAATCTATGACCGACAACTTCGGTGATAAACCCTTATTCATGCCATCTGCCAATTGCTCTTTCGGTCGAAACAGGTTTGTACATCACAATTGGGCAGTTGAGACCAGAGATGGATCATCAAAGGAAGCTTCATCCAATGATCAACAAATCAGGCATCTGTCAGATAAAAATCGCAAAGAACGTATAGAGAAGAAGTTATGTTTCAGATGTCACAAACCTGGACATCAAAGTCACCAACGCCCAAACAATCGTATCAGGGCGATTGAGTCTCACGACACATCCACTCAGGAGAAGGATGAAACCAAGGATTCTTCCAATGAGGAAGGGATAGCCAAAGAGTACATCCAGGCTATATCTTCTGAGAAGGATGTTTGAAGTCTTTGATTGCTGTGATGTCAAATCAAAGTATTGGCACTAAGAATTATTTATGTCAGGTGAAATTAGCTCATAAATCTATTTATTTGCCCTGCATATTGAAAACCTATGCCAAAACCATCACCACTGAGGCATTGCTCAATACAGGAGCAATGGAGAATTATATCAACATTTGTTTGCTCAAGATCACAATCTCCAGCACCAAAGTATCATACCCAGACCAGTGTTTAATGTTGATGGATCACCAAATAAAGCCACAACCATCAAACACAAAGTCTTCTTCACTATATCCTTATCAGGACAACCTATGAAGATAGAAGCTTACACCACAGTACTTGATCGGAATCCAATCATTCTAGGTCTCTCTTGGTTCAAACATTTCAACCCAGTAATTGATTGGGTCACTAGGAAGATGTGCTTTTGTTGGGATCAACTCCTGTGAGCAATCAAAACCCTTGCTAGTAACATCCCAGAATACCTAGAGAAATTCCTCTCCGTATTCAACAAAAGCACAGCAGAACAATTACCAGAACAAAAACCCTGGGACCATGCAATCAAATTGGAAGCCAACTTCAAACCTCAGCGAGGAAAGGTCTATCTGTTATCACCAGCAAAGCTCAAAGAGTTAGACACCTTCATCGAAGAAAACTTACAAAAAAGTTACATCCATCCATCAAAGTCTCCTATGGCATCTCCATTCTTCTTTGTCAATAAAAAAATCAGGAGATCTACAGCCATGTCAGGACTATAGGAAACTCAATGATGCCACTATCAAGAATGCTTACCCTATCCCACGAGTGGAAGACCTATTGGATCGTATCACCTCTGCTAAGCCAACTATGTTCACCAAGCTTGATCTGTGCACAGGATACAACAATGTGAGAATCAAAGAAGATGATAAATGGAAGGGAGCATTTATTACTCCATGAGGGTTATTCAAACCAACAGTCATGTTCTTTGGAATGACAAACTCTCCAGCAACCTTCCAAGCTATGATGGATGGCATCTTCGCAGATCTGCTACTAGAAGGATGGCTAGTGATCTACATTGATGATATCCTCATCTATTCCACCAACCACATGGAACACCAAAAATGCGCTCAATTGGTTCTCCAGCATCTGAAAGAATCAGATCTGTTCCTCAAACCCAAGAAGTGCTTCTTTGACATATCAGAAGTTGAATTCCTAGGGTTTATTCTCTGACCAGGACAAATAGGGATGGCAGAAGATAAGGTATCAGCAGTACTGAATTGGCCAAAGATTGACAGCATCAAAGCACTGCAATGCTTCCTGGGCTTTGCCAATTTCTACCGCCAATTCATTCCAGGGTATTCTAAAGTTGCACAACATCTATCTGACCTGCTGGTAAAGGGAATCAAGTGTTAAGGGACCTAACGACTGAGGATCAGGAGTTCAACTGGTTAAC